TTATTATTATTATTATTATTATTATTAGAACACTGTTGACTCAAAGCACATGGTACAATAAGACAAAATAAAGATTGTTGCTGTTGTTTATTTGTTGCTGTAGATAAGCAGTGGACACCATGTTGACTCTCACATCCTTATTTTGACATGTCTTACTTCTGCATGTAATCACCTGGCCAAAATTACTTGAATTAATGTCCTCGCAAACTGTACAGACAGTGTAGATACAATCAGTTTTAACACTAGTCTATGTTTTAAATGTTGTACCACTGCATTGTTGTGAATAATGGGGCTCTCACTATTAGTTTTTCTTGACTTTATAAATTTTTACCCCTTGCAAAGTATCAGCCAATACAAACCTATACTTTACAGTAAACTCAGCATTAAAAGCATCATTCTCAATGTTTCTCTTAATGTACAGTGAAAAAGCCAGTCTGGCTGTGACATTGGTTAATGCTAACAATGATGTAATGGGTCATGCTGCATTCTTTGATTATCCTAACTTGCCGAGTGTGGACCCAGGCAAATGGGAAGAATGGCTTCACTCAAAGTACGATTGCAAAAAATGCAATGTAAGTATACCTTAAATAAATGCTAGACTTGAACAATAACCTGAGAAAAAGAATCCCCAGTCCCGTACTTATTTTTTCCTCCTTGTAATCTGAGCTGTTATGGTCGAAGAAATCCAGAAGTTTCAGGGTTTTCCAAACTAGCTGGCTTCTTGCCACCATCTATTTTATGATCTCAGCGGGTGTGTTTAATACACAAAATGGCAAAATGACAAAATGGCCATTACATGGTATAAATCAATTTTAGATATGGTTACTATGCTTATTAATTGAGTAAGGCACGACAAATGTTTGGTGACCAGGTTTTAATGTTCTACTTGCGATGTTGTTGGGGTAACTGGCTCCGTTTCCAGAGGCAAATTGTTGGCCTTTGACGTCATTAGCAGCAAAGTGCCCAAAATTGCAGGCGGCGATATTGTTACCATTGGAAACTAGGAAAGTTTCCTGTGGCAACACCGTAATTTTACAAGTGAGTCCAAAAGTTCACCACCAAAACTCTATTGCGCCTTAGTGAACTGACAATTGTAGTAATCCATACAATTATTGAAAGCTAACTACCTTCAAGTCAGTGATATTTAGGCTAGTCAAAGAGCCATTTACCGGCAGGCTAACTGGAGCGCTATTAAGGCTAACTGTAGTGACATTTTGTCATTTTGTCATTTCATGTTTTAAGCACTCCTGATCTCAACCAGCTACATTTGTATTCTGCTGTGTTGTTCTTCCAATTCTGACTTAGAAAAGATCAGAAATTTTACAGCCACCTACTCAAACAAATAATTAGAAAACGTTATAGTGAGAGATGTTTGGTTATACAGGCCAGTGCTATACGTTTGTGTTTTAATTTTTATTTCTCATTGGTTTGTCAAGTTCCATTGTTTTACAACTGATCGGTGAATCATAATTTTCATTGTTAAATTATTTAAGTGATTAACATGTGAAAACTTTTTTGTCAACTAGCCTCTGAACACTCTCTTCATGAACTACTTTGTAGCCAAGTCTGATTTTGCATATGGTTGTGCAACAGAAATTATTAGGTGAGTACGATGCATAAGTAAATTGTTTATAATAGGTTGAGATTTTTTATTTCGTAATGCTTGAAGATTCAGCTCTAATTATCCTGTCTAGTTTGTTTGAAATTTGAACTCTAGATATATGTATATATACTCATCTTTTGTTTTCCAGAACGGTGTTTAATGCTGTTCCATTCCTACATTACATTTTCCTTGTTGTACCAAGGGGAGTTGAGACAGGTAAGTCTAAGCTAATTAAAAGATGAAACTCCATTGCTGAGAATCATTATAAGAATCAGATCATTATAAATTAATTTATAAATTTATGTGTGTGTATTCTCATCAATGATACATACAAGTAATGTAGTTTTTACTGATACAAGCTACATGTCTCTTTTAGAATTTGAAGACTAATTTTTGACTTTTGAATTTCAATTTTTCTATTGTATAGGATCAACACTGACTGAGTTGTTTAAACCAATGACATTTAAGGAGAGTTTTACAGGGAGATTGAATGTTGAAGTGCAAGTCTGTCATCGTCATGATCACTGTGCCAAGTTACACATCAGACCAGCAAGGTCAGTCAGTCAGTCAGTTCTGTCTGTCAGTGAGTTGGTCAGTCAGAGAGTCTGTCTGTCAGTGAGTTGGTCAGTCAGTTTTTCAGTCAGTCAGTCTGTCTGTCAGTCCATCAGTCAGTGAGTTTGTCCGTCAGTTGTTCAGTCAGATAGTTTATTGGTCAGTCAGTCAGCCAACTTTACATCCATGGAATGATGGACATTAATACTACTTATGAATAATTAGCTGCACGGACATTATTTTTCAGCCTGTTGCATAATGAGCTGTTAACATGTGAAATCTTGTAACAAGTATTTTTAGTTTCAACCTAAAATTTTGGACTGTGTGGAAAAATTTCCAAGTGATTTTTGAGAGGCCACTAGATTCTCCTAGCAAATTGCCTTCAGTTGTCAAATTGGAGAATTTTGCAATGAGTGCCTTTGATCTCAATCCATCCTTTCATAATAAGATACATGTAATTCTTAATCATTTATTTTGCTTTGTTGTCCATAGGGTAGAGGATCATGATGACCTCACACCAATATTCAATCGACAAAGTGATGTCCTCACTTCTACATATGGTATGCAGTATTAAATTGAACATCTGGCCATATTAACGGGGTGGCCGTATCAATAGGGTAGCCATATTAATGGGTTAGAGTCAAACCTCATGAATGGTGTAAACTGAGTGACATTTTAGCTTATATCACAATTGCACTTCTAAACAACTTTTCTTTAATAAACACTGCAATACAGATATACCGGTAATTTTTTAAAAAAAATTCAAACTTTGAACAGTACATACATATTAACAATGGAAAGATGAAACTAACTGGTTCGAGTGGTTGTATTAATGGGGTAAAGTTACAAAGGATTATGCAGGTTCGGATTTCAGAATGTGGCCACTGGCCATATTAATGGGTGGCCTCCTTAAGTAATAAGTTTTCTAATAAGGAAACGTATGGGCGTTTTGCCAGGACAAAAAAAGTGGCCAACTGATAAGAAGGTGACTGTAAGGCAGAGTTTCACTGACTTGATATGTAACCTCAGCCTTATAGGTATGGAATGCCTGAAAAGGGCTACATACATGTAGGTGGTGTTTCCAAGGATGTATTTTGTGATTGTATTTCTTTTGATGCTACATAAATAATCTCACCATAAAATGGCAATTTTAATTATTGTTATTAAAACTGCCATTATGATTGTCAGTTTGTAGCCTAACTACTTTGTAGCCTAACAACTACACACAGGGCTTTAGAGCACATATGAGTTGCAACCTTGTAAAGTAGAATTATATTTGTTGAATGAGCACAGTGATTACCCTCCTTTCTTAATTTCAGGGGCCTTCTTCTTGGCTGAACTCATAGAGGCTCAAGATGAAAAAAATAAGTGCGTTGTCGCAGATGTAAGTTGACATCACTAGAAAAATGCACTTGTCGTAATCACGTGCGGCTTATTAGGACATCTTCAGTATGAAATTGGTAATCATGAATTGGATAATGATTAATTTAATTTTACTGATTTTGTTCTCAGGTGAAGGGCACTGCTGTCGGCTTTATGAGTGTTTGCTCAACTGTTGATGTAGAATTGCTGAGCAATTGTTTTGACCTCAAACCATTTAATGGCTTGCGAAAATTACGAGGGTCAACTCCACCCAGAGGTACGTTTACAACAGTTAATGATTTGCTTGGTATTTCAACAGGGTGTTGACTTGCAGTGACCCAATAATGGAGGCCAAGTTCTGCAGTTTCAAAGGGAGGTGACATTAGCACTTGGTCTGTCAATCTGATCACTTTGTCAGTTGGTCAGTTGTTAGATTGATTTTTCGTCAGTTGGTCGCAAGGCCTTGTTTGTGAATTCTCACTGAGTGAGACAATAGCTCTAAAGTACTGGAGTTGGCAGTGAAGTGTTGAGCATTTTCTTCTGAAAACATGTCAAAACAAGCGCAAAGGATATTCACAGTGCAGTAAGAAATATATGCTGTTTTTGTTTCAATTGACAGTGGCAAGTCCTGAGAAAGTATCAAGGTTGACACCATTAGAGGAGCAAGTATCAAAGTCAACTCCAAGGTCGTCTCCAATTGAACAACAAGAAGAAAGGTCAGTTGTAGCAGAAAACATTGCAATTCTAATTATGACAGACTTTAGGATAGGATAGGAAGCCTTTATTTCAACACGATGAGTTTTAAAGCTAAAAGCTTGTGGGGTCATGTATAAAATAAAAGAAAGACCTTATAACAATGTGATAATAAGTAAAAATTTTAAAACTACTAACCTTATAAGAAGCTGATCTACTGTATATAGACTGCAATAGTTGCTGTGTAAGTGGATTTGGTGACAGGCATTTTGTTTTACTCCTGATGAAATTGCAGAGATTATGCTAAACTTTCCCTTCATGTTTCTGCTTATCAATGGAATAGTTGTGAATAGTCCACAAAGGTGGAAAGAACTACATGTAAGTCAAGAGCACCTGTTAAAAAAAGGTGGACCGTTTTGTAAAACTTGTTTTTTATTACAGCCACAGATACCGGTGCTCCAGCCAAGCATACAACTAGGATGCTACCCATGGTCAACCCTGACCGACGGAGGCCTACTGCTGTTAAATTGCTTTACTATATTTTGAAATGATATTAATAATTTACCCACTTTATTAGGTCAGAAGACTCCCGAACTGATCTGGAAAAAGTTGAGAAAGAAGAAGTGCAGGTACAGGCTGTATCGTTAATTGTACTTAATAGTCTATATTAAGTGAAAATTGCATAAAACAATAGATGTAGGCAACAAGAAATTCAGGCTGCCTCCCTATTTTATCAGTAGTAGTTTTTAAAGTAGTATCAACATGCAATCAAGTTACTTAATATGTTATTTAAATTTCAGCAGAATGTTTGATCATTTTGTCCTTGTGTGGTTTTTCATGATACCTTTTTACTGTCCAGTAGGCCCGGTTGTTCAAAACCACAATTAAACTAACGTCCAATTAAGCCTAATGGTTGATTAAATTTCCTAATCGTGGGTTAGAAAACGGCTGTTCAAAAGGAGATTAATCTGCCGATTAACTAATCCGTGATTAAGCGTAGAGTGGATTATTTTAATTGATTATAAAACTTTTGTTTTCAAATGGCTACCCCGGCGAAAAAACTGCCTGTGAAACTGTTGCCTTGTTTACTCCAACGGTATCGCTGATAACTTGAAGAAAGTTGCCACTAGCATGAAATCTTACTGCTAGCAGCACTAAGTCTATGGGTACAAGAGCATGGCCACGCTTCGTTTTTCTCCGCAAATCTGCCTCTATGAGGTTTGTGATGTATTCAATGGACACTCTCCCAAATCTCTAATGAGTCCGAAGTTCTTGCTCGCTATAAGTGAGTATGTTATGGTTATATCAATAACATTGTCCAAGGCGAGGGAGATGAAACAACAAGCCGGACATTTTTCTTCAAGTTTAATCGGCAGATTAGAGAGTTAATTCTCCTCCGGTGGTGAATTAAATTAAACCCGCCGATTAGAGTTTGATTAGCGCTAATCGGGCTTTGAGCAATGCAATCTGATCGCAGATTAAATTTTAATTGTCGGTTAAGCAATTTAATCCCCAATTAGCGCTAATCGCGGTTTTGAACAACCGGGCCCTAGTAAAGCTTACTCTCTGAGGCAGTGTGCCCATGCCCACCGCATGGTAAAAAAGTTTTCTTTAATTGTCATGTTTTGACAACTGCAAAGGAATCAATCCCTGAGAAGCGTAAATGTAATAACATATTTGGGGGATTACATGCAGTGGCATTCAAACTGGAGGAAACTGTAAAATAATTCTTTACCAGGGTAGAGACAAATTTATTATGAATGGCAGAGATTAAAGATTTCACTGAAGCTCTAGGACAACACAGTACTTTATCATGCTAGGGNTTATTATTATTATTATTATTATTATTAGAACACTGTTGACTCAAAGCACATGGTACAATAAGACAAAATAAAGATTGTTGCTGTTGTTTATTTGTTGCTGTAGATAAGCAGTGGACACCATGTTGACTCTCACATCCTTATTTTGACATGTCTTACTTCTGCATGTAATCACCTGGCCAAAATTACTTGAATTAATGTCCTCGCAAACTGTACAGACAGTGTAGATACAATCAGTTTTAACACTAGTCTATGTTTTAAATGTTGTACCACTGCATTGTTGTGAATAATGGGGCTCTCACTATTAGTTTTTCTTGACTTTATAAATTTTTACCCCTTGCAAAGTATCAGCCAATACAAACCTATACTTTACAGTAAACTCAGCATTAAAAGCATCATTCTCAATGTTTCTCTTAATGTACAGTGAAAAAGCCAGTCTGGCTGTGACATTGGTTAATGCTAACAATGATGTAATGGGTCATGCTGCATTCTTTGATTATCCTAACTTGCCGAGTGTGGACCCAGGCAAATGGGAAGAATGGCTTCACTCAAAGTACGATTGCAAAAAATGCAATGTAAGTATACCTTAAATAAATGCTAGACTTGAACAATAACCTGAGAAAAAGAATCCCCAGTCCCGTACTTATTTTTTCCTCCTTGTAATCTGAGCTGTTATGGTCGAAGAAATCCAGAAGTTTCAGGGTTTTCCAAACTAGCTGGCTTCTTGCCACCATCTATTTTATGATCTCAGCGGGTGTGTTTAATACACAAAATGGCAAAATGACAAAATGGCCATTACATGGTATAAATCAATTTTAGATATGGTTACTATGCTTATTAATTGAGTAAGGCACGACAAATGTTTGGTGACCAGGTTTTAATGTTCTACTTGCGATGTTGTTGGGGTAACTGGCTCCGTTTCCAGAGGCAAATTGTTGGCCTTTGACGTCATTAGCAGCAAAGTGCCCAAAATTGCAGGCGGCGATATTGTTACCATTGGAAACTAGGAAAGTTTCCTGTGGCAACACCGTAATTTTACAAGTGAGTCCAAAAGTTCACCACCAAAACTCTATTGCGCCTTAGTGAACTGACAATTGTAGTAATCCATACAATTATTGAAAGCTAACTACCTTCAAGTCAGTGATATTTAGGCTAGTCAAAGAGCCATTTACCGGCAGGCTAACTGGAGCGCTATTAAGGCTAACTGTAGTGACATTTTGTCATTTTGTCATTTCATGTTTTAAGCACTCCTGATCTCAACCAGCTACATTTGTATTCTGCTGTGTTGTTCTTCCAATTCTGACTTAGAAAAGATCAGAAATTTTACAGCCACCTACTCAAACAAATAATTAGAAAACGTTATAGTGAGAGATGTTTGGTTATACAGGCCAGTGCTATACGTTTGTGTTTTAATTTTTATTTCTCATTGGTTTGTCAAGTTCCATTGTTTTACAACTGATCGGTGAATCATAATTTTCATTGTTAAATTATTTAAGTGATTAACATGTGAAAACTTTTTTGTCAACTAGCCTCTGAACACTCTCTTCATGAACTACTTTGTAGCCAAGTCTGATTTTGCATATGGTTGTGCAACAGAAATTATTAGGTGAGTACGATGCATAAGTAAATTGTTTATAATAGGTTGAGATTTTTTATTTCGTAATGCTTGAAGATTCAGCTCTAATTATCCTGTCTAGTTTGTTTGAAATTTGAACTCTAGATATATGTATATATACTCATCTTTTGTTTTCCAGAACGGTGTTTAATGCTGTTCCATTCCTACATTACATTTTCCTTGTTGTACCAAGGGGAGTTGAGACAGGTAAGTCTAAGCTAATTAAAAGATGAAACTCCATTGCTGAGAATCATTATAAGAATCAGATCATTATAAATTAATTTATAAATTTATGTGTGTGTATTCTCATCAATGATACATACAAGTAATGTAGTTTTTACTGATACAAGCTACATGTCTCTTTTAGAATTTGAAGACTAATTTTTGACTTTTGAATTTCAATTTTTCTATTGTATAGGATCAACACTGACTGAGTTGTTTAAACCAATGACATTTAAGGAGAGTTTTACAGGGAGATTGAATGTTGAAGTGCAAGTCTGTCATCGTCATGATCACTGTGCCAAGTTACACATCAGACCAGCAAGGTCAGTCAGTCAGTCAGTTCTGTCTGTCAGTGAGTTGGTCAGTCAGAGAGTCTGTCTGTCAGTGAGTTGGTCAGTCAGTTTTTCAGTCAGTCAGTCTGTCTGTCAGTCCATCAGTCAGTGAGTTTGTCCGTCAGTTGTTCAGTCAGATAGTTTATTGGTCAGTCAGTCAGCCAACTTTACATCCATGGAATGATGGACATTAATACTACTTATGAATAATTAGCTGCACGGACATTATTTTTCAGCCTGTTGCATAATGAGCTGTTAACATGTGAAATCTTGTAACAAGTATTTTTAGTTTCAACCTAAAATTTTGGACTGTGTGGAAAAATTTCCAAGTGATTTTTGAGAGGCCACTAGATTCTCCTAGCAAATTGCCTTCAGTTGTCAAATTGGAGAATTTTGCAATGAGTGCCTTTGATCTCAATCCATCCTTTCATAATAAGATACATGTAATTCTTAATCATTTATTTTGCTTTGTTGTCCATAGGGTAGAGGATCATGATGACCTCACACCAATATTCAATCGACAAAGTGATGTCCTCACTTCTACATATGGTATGCAGTATTAAATTGAACATCTGGCCATATTAACGGGGTGGCCGTATCAATAGGGTAGCCATATTAATGGGTTAGAGTCAAACCTCATGAATGGTGTAAACTGAGTGACATTTTAGCTTATATCACAATTGCACTTCTAAACAACTTTTCTTTAATAAACACTGCAATACAGATATACCGGTAATTTTTTAAAAAAAATTCAAACTTTGAACAGTACATACATATTAACAATGGAAAGATGAAACTAACTGGTTCGAGTGGTTGTATTAATGGGGTAAAGTTACAAAGGATTATGCAGGTTCGGATTTCAGAATGTGGCCACTGGCCATATTAATGGGTGGCCTCCTTAAGTAATAAGTTTTCTAATAAGGAAACGTATGGGCGTTTTGCCAGGACAAAAAAAGTGGCCAACTGATAAGAAGGTGACTGTAAGGCAGAGTTTCACTGACTTGATATGTAACCTCAGCCTTATAGGTATGGAATGCCTGAAAAGGGCTACATACATGTAGGTGGTGTTTCCAAGGATGTATTTTGTGATTGTATTTCTTTTGATGCTACATAAATAATCTCACCATAAAATGGCAATTTTAATTATTGTTATTAAAACTGCCATTATGATTGTCAGTTTGTAGCCTAACTACTTTGTAGCCTAACAACTACACACAGGGCTTTAGAGCACATATGAGTTGCAACCTTGTAAAGTAGAATTATATTTGTTGAATGAGCACAGTGATTACCCTCCTTTCTTAATTTCAGGGGCCTTCTTCTTGGCTGAACTCATAGAGGCTCAAGATGAAAAAAATAAGTGCGTTGTCGCAGATGTAAGTTGACATCACTAGAAAAATGCACTTGTCGTAATCACGTGCGGCTTATTAGGACATCTTCAGTATGAAATTGGTAATCATGAATTGGATAATGATTAATTTAATTTTACTGATTTTGTTCTCAGGTGAAGGGCACTGCTGTCGGCTTTATGAGTGTTTGCTCAACTGTTGATGTAGAATTGCTGAGCAATTGTTTTGACCTCAAACCATTTAATGGCTTGCGAAAATTACGAGGGTCAACTCCACCCAGAGGTACGTTTACAACAGTTAATGATTTGCTTGGTATTTCAACAGGGTGTTGACTTGCAGTGACCCAATAATGGAGGCCAAGTTCTGCAGTTTCAAAGGGAGGTGACATTAGCACTTGGTCTGTCAATCTGATCACTTTGTCAGTTGGTCAGTTGTTAGATTGATTTTTCGTCAGTTGGTCGCAAGGCCTTGTTTGTGAATTCTCACTGAGTGAGACAATAGCTCTAAAGTACTGGAGTTGGCAGTGAAGTGTTGAGCATTTTCTTCTGAAAACATGTCAAAACAAGCGCAAAGGATATTCACAGTGCAGTAAGAAATATATGCTGTTTTTGTTTCAATTTACAGTGGCAAGTCCTGAGAAAGTATCAAGGTTGACACCATTAGAGGAGCAAGTATCAAAGTCAACTCCAAGGTCGTCTCCAATTGAACAACAAGAAGAAAGGTCAGTTGTAGCAGAAAACATTGCAATTCTAATTATGACAGACTTTAGGATAGGATAGGAAGCCTTTATTTCAACACGATGAGTTTTAAAGCTAAAAGCTTGTGGGGTCATGTATAAAATAAAAGAAAGACCTTATAACAATGTGATAATAAGTAAAAATTTTAAAACTACTAACCTTATAAGAAGCTGATCTACTGTATATAGACTGCAATAGTTGCTGTGTAAGTGGATTTGGTGACAGGCATTTTGTTTTACTCCTGATGAAATTGCAGAGATTATGCTAAACTTTCCCTTCATGTTTCTGCTTATCAATGGAATAGTTGTGAATAGTCCACAAAGGTGGAAAGAACTACATGTAAGTCAAGAGCACCTGTTAAAAAAAGGTGGACCGTTTTGTAAAACTTGTTTTTTATTACAGCCACAGATACCGGTGCTCCAGCCAAGCATACAACTAGGATGCTACCCATGGTCAACCCTGACCGACGGAGGCCTACTGCTGTTAAATTGCTTTACTATATTTTGAAATGATATTAATAATTTACCCACTTTATTAGGTCAGAAGACTCCCGAACTGATCTGGAAAAAGTTGAGAAAGAAGAAGTGCAGGTACAGGCTGTATCGTTAATTGTACTTAATAGTCTATATTAAGTGAAAATTGCATAAAACAATAGATGTAGGCAACAAGAAATTCAGGCTGCCTCCCTATTTTATCAGTAGTAGTTTTTAAAGTAGTATCAACATGCAATCAAGTTACTTAATATGTTATTTAAATTTCAGCAGAATGTTTGATCATTTTGTCCTTGTGTGGTTTTTCATGATACCTTTTTACTGTCCAGTAGGCCCGGTTGTTCAAAACCACAATTAAACTAACGTCCAATTAAGCCTAATGGTTGATTAAATTTCCTAATCGTGGGTTAGAAAACGGCTGTTCAAAAGGAGATTAATCTGCCGATTAACTAATCCGTGATTAAGCGTAGAGTGGATTATTTTAATTGATTATAAAACTTTTGTTTTCAAATGGCTACCCCGGCGAAAAAACTGCCTGTGAAACTGTTGCCTTGTTTACTCCAACGGTATCGCTGATAACTTGAAGAAAGTTGCCACTAGCATGAAATCTTACTGCTAGCAGCACTAAGTCTATGGGTACAAGAGCATGGCCACGCTTCGTTTTTCTCCGCAAATCTGCCTCTATGAGGTTTGTGATGTATTCAATGGACACTCTCCCAAATCTCTAATGAGTCCGAAGTTCTTGCTCGCTATAAGTGAGTATGTTATGGTTATATCAATAACATTGTCCAAGGCGAGGGAGATGAAACAACAAGCCGGACATTTTTCTTCAAGTTTAATCGGCAGATTAGAGAGTTAATTCTCCTCCGGTGGTGAATTAAATTAAACCCGCCGATTAGAGTTTGATTAGCGCTAATCGGGCTTTGAGCAATGCAATCTGATCGCAGATTAAATTTTAATTGTCGGTTAAGCAATTTAATCCCCAATTAGCGCTAATCGCGGTTTTGAACAACCGGGCCCTAGTAAAGCTTACTCTCTGAGGCAGTGTGCCCATGCCCACCGCATGGTAAAAAAGTTTTCTTTAATTGTCATGTTTTGACAACTGCAAAGGAATCAATCCCTGAGAAGCGTAAATGTAATAACATATTTGGGGGATTACATGCAGTGGCATTCAAACTGGAGGAAACTGTAAAATAATTCTTTACCAGGGTAGAGACAAATTTATTATGAATGGCAGAGATTAAAGATTTCACTGAAGCTCTAGGACAACACAGTACTTTATCATGCTAGGGCAATACCAAAAGCCTAACAAAAATGTCACAACATGGCAAATGGGATCAATTGGTTACTGGGCAGTGAAGACAGATTACATTGTACAGTCTTGTAATTAACAGTAAACTTGAAAATCTTTGTTCTATTCCAACAGCCAACACAAGGGGCAACCTTTGAAGAAAGTGCATTCTGTATCCAGCTGTTCTGCATTGATGAAAAATATGAAATGAGGTTGGTAATAACATTAACCTGTATTGATTATTGCAGTGAGGGCACTCGAACCGTGAATGCTTAAGATTTCATTCCTATAACAAAGATAATAATAAAGATTTTTATAACGCTAGTATCCTGAAGTTCAAAGGCGCTCTACAATACAAAGAAAATCAAAAAAGTTATCTAAAAATTAAAAACATTAGTTTAAAATAAATTGCAAAAAGGTTTTTTCTTAAAAAAAGAAATGTTTTGAGTCTATTTTTAAAGATGGACACAGACAAACTACAGTATTTCCTATTTCAAATGGTAGTACATTCCATAGTGTAGGTGCTGCCACGGAGAAGGATGTTGCGCCATATGTTTTCAAGTTATAAGACGGAGTTAAAACTGAAAAGATGAGTAAAATCTTGAAAATAATACGTTGATTCACCGGAAGCCAATGACTTATCAGAGTATTTAGCGTTATTACACAGTAAAAACTCCCATAAATCTTGTACGTTATACAAAGATCCTTCACTCTATATTCACCAGAAAAATGTACCAAACAAAAGTCAAGTGTTCATGGCTAGCGTATCCTTACTGATGTATTACTTAGCTTGCCGAGGATGGTCTGTCTCCGTTTTGGCCCCATCAGCTGATGCAATGCACCAAAACATAGTTATTATTTTTCCTTGCAGGTCTATAGATTTTCTTCCAGCTGTTTTCGACTTGTTTCCAGTAAGTACCGAATTACAGCATGCTTGGTCATGTACAGCTTCAAGTAGGCATTAATTGATACAACTGAACCAACTCTACTTTTTTTTTCTCTAAACAGGAAAAAGATTACTGCATTCTCACGACGCCTCATCTTGTACCAGAGTTTCCACTTCTGCAATCATTTGTCGTAAGTTTATCTCGTATCTTTGTGGTATGTCATTGAATATCACCAATTAAACAATTTCACTATAAAAGTTAACGTTTTTAAATCTGTTTCTCAAAAATTTGTTGATTTCAATTAAACAATACCATGAAAACAACAACGTGAAATGACCAAAATAATTCTGTGTGAACCAACGACGGCTTATTTTTTTTTTCAAGTCCTATTTCGAATTTAACGTTGTGTTAATGTGTTAATGTTAGGGCGGTTAAGCAACGATGATGACGACGCCTAGTAAAAAATGAACTCATATTTTACAACCGAAATTCGCGATTGTCTAGATCTGTTCAGTACGCCAGTGGCTCTAAAAACGTACTTAAGCTAAATATGCAACGACGGAGTTCAGTTCCAAATGGAAATACGAAAAATTAGCCGTCGTCGTCCACGTTTCGTAGACGACGTCTTAAATTCCTTATCTGCTTGCACTCAGAACCATTATGGTTCTTCTTTCAGAGAGTTACTCCAAGGAAGTACAGTACTTTATCACACGAGCTGTACGTCTTTCACAGATGGGGTCTCATTGAGTAAGTTTTTGTTTCCTTTAAATCACTGATTTTCAATGTACACACTGTATGAGGTACACTATTTCTTGTAGTTTAACACTTTGTAAAATCGTTGCAGCAAACCATCACTGAAAATCTAGGGAGTGCGATTTTTACATTATTCCCTTTATTAAGTTTGTTGAGGAATAGTAATTCTATTAGTAGTGTAATTAGTACATTAATACCTTTTTTCGGTAGTTTTGCGTCTCTTGGCATTTTGAGGCAGTAATATGTGCTTTGTTTTATTGTTCAACATAGGCAAGCATCGTGGTACAGAAAATTCATTATTTATCTTTTGGTGTCTTTTATAGGTCATTTCATGTCAGACCCTGTACTTCAGCTGATACAGACGGGATTCGGTCAGTTGTTTCACAGCTCAATGGAGCAGACATAATAATGAGGTAAACAGAAAAGACATACCTCTTTGACTAACCAATTTCGAGGTCCGTTCTGTTAGTTATTGACCCAATTTTCCCCTTTCGATTTATGGCTTAAGTGCGAAAAGCTAATAAAACCAAAGTTGTTGTGGATATATGGAAACCTATGATCCCATTTTGTTTCGTACTGCATCAGTTACTTCACTGACGAGTCTTTTTTCTTTTTTTTCTTGCAGAGATGTTCAACAGTACAACAGTGATCGGAGAGACGCAGTATGTATTTTTATATCCTGCCAAAAAATTCTGCTTCATCTTTGCCAATCCTGCGCTCAGCCTGCCATCGCAAACTCTTGAGGGGAACTAAAAATCGTTTCAGGTGGTGGGGGCCCGTTCAAAGTAGCTCTGCTGATTGAAAATGAACGAAAATGCTATTGAAGGAAGAGTGATTTGTGTTCAAGATGGTAGGGATACGAGATAACCAAGCTCGAGAAAGCGACATTTAAGAGTACATTAAGTCTAAGCAACTACCGAATGCTGCCTTATTTGATCTTTAGCTTGCACGAATAGTTCGGGAGTTTCTTTTTGATTCTAATTCCTTATCGCTTAACACATTGTTGCAGGATGGCATAGAAATTCAATGTTTTGTAGCACAGAGTATGGATCAAGTTGTGGGCGTTGCACTTCTCAGACGAGAAGAGGTACGTGCAGTGAAGACATTTAAAGTAGCAGATATGAACTCTTAGTTTTAATTTTGCCGTACACCGATAACGTTAAAATTTTCGGATCCAAACGTCGTTGAAAGCCCTGTATAAGAACACTTAACACTTCTATTAACTGGTCTTATTATAAACACTTTTAAAGTGAGAAAGGGCCATCCCCGATCAAACTGTTTTTAATAGCAGACAGGATAAGAGAAGTACATGTAAACCAGGATTAAAGGATGATTTGCCGAGCGGCAAATTAACTATAGGTGGCGGAGACCAAATTGCCTGCTGCCTAGGGAGGGTGGTAGTGAGGGTGGAGGCATTCGGGTTTTACAGACTGCATGTAAATTGATTTGTCAATAAAGAGGTCGTTTTCTACCTTACTCGGAGTATGGTGCGATATTTTCTAGCTTACATCTGTCATTTTTGTAGAGGACGTATTTGATTTCAAAACTCTATAACGTAATGATTGGGTGAAAGAAAGTTCATTCAGTTCCAAGGTATTGATTTAAGCTACGTAATTTCAACACTTAAATGTTTGTATTTTGTTTGCTTTGCAGGAGATCGAATACATCCGTTCTCATTTTAACATTGAAGACTTTATCTACTTCAATCACCACAAAAGAGATGAACACGCTCATTTATTCCATTTTGCTCTGAATCCTGTATTCCAGCAATACTCCAAACACTTTCTCAAGGTACAAAACACATTCTTTGTTGTGTTTCATTTCAAATTTTTTCGTCCCCTCTTTCCTCGCGAGAGAAGCAACTAAGATTCGACCTAAAAAAGACTCTAGCTGTACTTTGCAGTTAGATTATGAGCTGGAGATTTCTTTCTCGTGATAGCTGACGAGGGCGCAGCTCGAGTCGACTATCGTGCGTAGAAAACGAGAGCGAATAATCTAATTGTTTCAGTATAAATCTACTAGTCGTTCAAAAGTTAAACAAAAATCCTCTTCTTAGACAGTTCTTAAACCCAAAAAAGAGACGGTCATTTTGTCAACAACCGCTCACTGCTACGCTACTCACTCACTATCTACAAGAGAATAGATAGTGAGTAGCGTAGCCAATCAGAGAACGGCATTCGTGATACAACGCTAGTAGAATAGATTTAAATTTAAGCTTGTTAGACTTCAACACAAAGTGGCAACCAATCATTCTTGGTAGAGCTTCTCGATCGAGGGAAGGCCTGAGTGCTGGTGCGTGGAAAATGTATATTTATTTACTCAAGGCATGGTAAGGTCAGGAATGCTCAATTGTTAANTTTTTTTTTTTTTTTTTTTTTTTTGGCAACAGAGCTCGTCGCCAAATCATTTACCCGTTGGATCAACTTGGTGGAAATGCCCCGTCAGAACGGATTTTAGCAAACAAGGTATCTTGACGGACTTTGTTTTTTTGTCGGATATACGTGGTTTGGGTATTTGGCTAGGGATGAATGCTTCATAACGCTCTTTTCCTATCTTATAACTCCACAGGAACCGTTTTCCTTGACGCATTTGAACAGAAAACTGACTTTGGAACCAAAGGTAAGATTAAGTTAGAAAATGGGGCAGTCACTGTCAGAGCAAATGGATGGTTACTTTTCACAGAGATGATACGCACTGACTGTCGAGTTCTTCAATTGGTGAAGAGAAATGATCGCGCATCATGCTTTAATTCATCCCAACAATTTTTCAATGAATCAAATCTAGGACAAAATTCATTGGTTCACCTTCTAAGACACAGTGTCGCCAGTCAAGTCACAAGAAAATTAAGGAACGTTTTAATCTTAATATGTTTGTGTTTTCTAATTCTGCAGGTCACCATCAATGCTCGCATTGTAGTTGTTGGAGCATCAGATGTGGGAATCTCTTTTCTTGAAACTTTTGTGTTTTGGTGAGTAAAAGTGTCAAGCACTCTCTCTTCCTGACAAAGTTAAATTACGTCTCCTCCTAACAAATTTTTATGTAGTATTATGTGTGTTCTTAGAATGGCAGTCTTTAAAAGTTACTTCTAACACGAGAATCGAGCTTGGACGCTTTGTTTAACGGAGAACTACTTTAAAATTGTCACCACACTACTCTATGACTGCATTATGAAGCTAGATAGCCTGCCAGCAGGCTCACGTTGGAGTACAAGCGCGAGCGCGAAATCGAGCGGCTTCACTTTTGGCGCCTCTTCACCAGACTCTTCCCGCGGGATCGCTTCGCTTTTCGCCGCTCGCGCGTGTGACTCAAACGTGAAGCTGCTCGCAGGCTAGAGGCTAGAAAAAGTACTGTTTTTCAAGGAAGCACTGAAAAAATGTATGAAGTCTTCTGAATTGCCCATTGCTTGTTAACGAATTATCATACCTCAGTCTTGGAGCTGAGCAAACATAAGTATATTTATTCCTGTAACTTCCACTGGTAAGCTGCATCTTATTTCATTTGCAGCCCACATCTTCGTTTTAACAATCTGACGCTGGTCTCTACCCATGGAATGCCGGGCCAATTGAATCCCGATGAATTGCGTTCAAAATGCCTTCCTTCAAGGTATTTGTTCTCAAGACCGTAAACTGAAGTTCTAAAAAGTCAGAATTTGGGCTAAACTACAGAATACAGGGCTACTTTTAATCATCCAACAAACGAGCCGGCTCGTTTAGCTCGTTTGCTCCTTTGCAATCCACTGCCGGGCCAAACGAGCCACTAAATATATAGACGTTATAAGGACTTAACGCATATAAAGATTATTCCTCGTTCTTTTATCCACTGCCGAGCTAAGCGAGCCAAACGAGCCACTAAATATGTAGACCTAGGACTTAACGCATATACAGATTATTGCTCGTTCTTTCATCCACTGCCGGGACAAACGAGCCAAACGAGCCACTAAAGGTATACAACTTCAAAAGTGGCTCTGTATTGCGTGGTTGCCCTGTATTGTAGTGTTTTTGACAGTTAGGGGCCTGACAAATCCAGAAGTCTGAAACAATGTTCGAGATTGAGAGAAGTGCTAATGGCTCGCTGTGCTTTGATTGTAGTCAGTGCTATACTCAAGAGGATTTGGTGCACATGGCGTTGGAGACCTGGGTCAAAATTGTTGAAGGGAAACTCATAGCACTTGACAGGTAGAGGACTGAATGGCCACAAAAAAGATTTTCGATTTTATGAGAATTAAATTTAAAATATCCCTAGACTAGTCAGAAAACCGTCTCTACTACGTCACCAGAGATTGAAACCAGGATTTCGAGTTTCTAAATCTCTTCTTGGAAGATGTGGTATCGTCACAATAACAAGTAGTCATTCAAAAAATATCAGTGGAATTCAACTGGTGATGTTCATTTTAAATGTGCTAAAATAAGTTCTTGGCATCAACGTTTTCGTTAGGACAACATCCAAGCCACTAAACCTTACACAATGCAGGTTTAATCTTAATTAAACGTTTTCAAGTTCACCGTTCGCAGATGATGTTCCCAACTTTTATATTTTTGCCTTGTTATTACCTCTTCAGCGCCCATTTCTTTAAAGTTTCCTGTAATTTAAAGTTACGTCTAGAGGTGTCTCATGGAGATGTAGTGCGTGTGGTTTAACTGTAGATATCTAAACCCCGAAAAACAAAATTCGCTTTGACTTATAGCTTTCGAAAGATGATTCGGCCGCTCGCATTTAGAGGTCGTGACAAATTCGACAATTCATTTTATTTTAACATTCTTGGAATAATGTGATAGCTAGCTTTAATTTGATAAAGTGGTTTAGGCATCTACAGGTTAAACCAGACGCGCTACATCGCATGGATTCGAGACACCTCTAAAGGTACATGGTAACCCTAAACTAAGGTAATTTATTTTATATCTACCGTATGAACATCATGTAACAGCCGTTCTCTGTAATCTTTGTTGACTCTATGCAGGACCAACCAAGTCATAAAGGTGACCGGGGGAGCCTTTGTTCCTTACGAGTACCTCATCTTATGCACTGGGCAACAGTTTCAAATCCCAGTTCCAACTGGTGCTGATATCTCCACTCTGGTCACTACAAGTGAGGTGGTAATACCCAAAGTGCCACGGTACACGGGCCCTCTGCCCTCAGCAATCTTCACTATCACTACTGAACGGGACTGTGAGAACGCGTTGAACTATATCCGGGGGGACTTCCTTACAGGGTCAGGTAGGTTGAGGCTTGAATAGCTTTATTATTGTAACTTCTTTATTTAGTTACGGGAGAGGGTCTGGAGATTATTGGCAGGGGGATTGGGCTTACAGAAGTAGCCGTTTACAAGGCGGCTCTTTTCAGTGGAATAACCTATAGTACCTTTTCATTCTACGTGTAACAACAGAAAAAGGGGAGCAGTTGTTCAATTAGTTATTATTAATGTGCACCAATATTCTCAGCAGTAGACGACGACTAGTCTCTCGCTCGCTAAGTCCGTCGTGCGTCCGCTTGAGATCCTGCCAATAATTTTTTCGCGGTTTTCTTTCGCGTCAGGCACGACGGACTAAGCGAAAGAGGGACTACAGTTAGCCTACTTAGCAGCGAAAATATAAGCCAAATAGGGAAACTTAAAAAACTGTTAGGACACGTCGGGGCCCAAGAGAAAACAACTTAACATACCGTTTATTACCAGCTCGGAGTTTCACCACCTCTTTCAGGGCTGTTCATCGGGACAAATTCAAAGTACATGTAGAGGTCTAAAGAACCTGGTTGGTCAACATTCAGTGTACAACAGAACAAACCTTTTTAAAAATACATGTCAAACTCTTTTATTTCAGGTAATGCTCTCGTGTATGGGAACACTCTGGAAGCGTTCTCCATGGTGCAAACACTACTCGCTGTAGGAGTCCCTGGATCACGTGTTGTGCTCGTGCAGCCTCCAGTTTCGATACCAACCTGTTTTAACAACCCGTTTGTCGAGGACGCGGTAACCGCTGCACTGAAGGAATGCGGTACGTTTCGGCTAAGAATCCATTGCCTTTAACTTTAGTTATAGTAATTTAATGCTACATAAAACAATATTCTTCAGTTGATGGTTTTCCTTTTTTTTGTTTAACTACCTGCTTGAGAACTTGTTGATATTTTAAAAGGGAAGTTAGATAACGATTAAACTTGAGAATTAATATGAAGGGTTAATTGTTTGCTGGTTTGTCTTTTTCATCTTAGGTGTCGCGTGTCATGTCGGCTTCACACTCGCCCAGTGGAATGACGGGAAGGTTAATGAGCCTCTGTCACGTGCTACATTTACATCAGAAAACAAACCACTGAGTGTGAACTGTGAGGTAAANCTGGATCACGTGTTGTGCTCGTGCAGCCTCCAGTTTCGATACCAACCTGTTTTAACAACCCGTTTGTCGAGGACGCGGTAACCGCTGCACTGAAGGAATGCGGTACGTTTCGGCTAAGAATCCATTGCCTTTAACTTTAGTTATAGTAATTTAATGCTACATAAAACAATATTCTTCAGTTGATGGTTTTCCTTTTTTTGTGTGTTTAACTACCTGCTTGAGAACTTGTTGCTATTTGAAAAGGGAAGTTAGATAACGATTAAACTTGAGAATTAATATGAAGGGTTAATTGTTGGCTGGTTTGTCTTTCTCATCTTAGGTGTCGCGTGTCATGTCGGCTTCACACTCGCCCAATGGAATGACGGGAAGTTTAATGAGCCTCTGTCACGTGCTACATTTACATCAGAAAACAAACCACTGAGTGTGAACTGTGAGGTAAAGTTGTTTCTTTCTTCGTTCTTTTGTTACAATTGTATGGTCAATGTCACAAAATCCTTGTTGATTTGATTTCTTCTGCACTTGATTTTCACGGCTCGTATCTCTTCCGTCGAGTTGGTGCTTTTGTTCTCGCTTTTGAAAGCGTAACTGGAAGCAGTGCTAACTTTTGATTTTTCACGTGTTATTGTGTTTTTTTTTACAGGCGTTCTTTTGCTTTCAAGCCAAAAAGGTTGACTACGACGCGTTCAAAGGTACAGCTTGAATTTATTTTCGTAACCTTTCAGTTACTTACTGCAGAAGCGTATTGTTTTGCTTGTTTACAAAGTTTTGCTTGGTAAAAGTAACAACAAGCAGACGTAGATGGTAATTATAAGGCCTTATAATCCATCAAATATTTTCGCTCGAGCGCGATTAGTCTAAACGCATCACGTGACTGAATATTCCCCAGCTAAAATTGGGGAATATCCGAGTGATATTCCCCAATTTTCAAAACCGCGCGTTGTGCGAAAAATGTTTGAAGGGTAATAAACACAGTAGCCTCCATTTGGCGCGGAAATATGCTCACACATTTGTCCTTTGACATCATCTGCTCCTCGAAGCTTACAGTTTTCCTCGAGCTACGCTCTCGGAAAACTGGTTGCCTCTCGGAACAGATAATGTCCGCGGACAAATATCCGAGCATATATTGCGCTAAATGGAAGCTATTGTTTATTTATGCGTCCCAAGCAACGGCAAGGACTGTAGCTGATGATCATGATGATTAATTTTTTTTTCCCACTAGCCATCAATGACAGCTGCCTAGTGTTTGATGGGAGACTAGTCATTGATGCAGACTTTCACACTAATGACTCTTGCATCAGAGCTGCTGGGCCGCTAACCAAGTTCCAAAGAAGATACCATGCAGAATCTTGGCAAGTTTTTAATTATCATGACAATTATCATTAAATTATGACAAGATATCATGATTATGATTATGATTATCATTATCATTAGTACGTAATTGCAATAGCAACCGTTAAATTAGAGTGCGATCGAGTGCAATTGCTACTTTTCAAACTTAGCACGCCAACCTCCCCTTGTGTCTAGGTACTCCTTTCTTTTAGTAGGAGTATTTTTTCCTCCTTTGTATTGGAGGCCCACTTTACCTAATACCAATTTGTCGCATTGCACCGGCTTATCTGCTACTATTAGAAGTCTATCAAAGTGAAACAACTTATTAATATTTATTCTTGACTCTCTCTTTGCTTTTCTATGACTTTCAGGACTCATGGAAACTTCAACTCTAAAGAGGTTGGCGAGGAACTGGCCCAGTCTCTGTTGACCCTGTTTGACCCCACCCTCGACGGGATGCTTCTTGACACGGAGACATCGCAGGAGCAACAGCTTCTTATACCCATGTACACTAAACCAAAGACAGTCTGCACTGTACTACCAGGTAAACATTGAACAAAAGAGCGATGTCTAGTTACAGGGTTCTCATTAAGGGCCGGGCGTTGGGCAAACTGACCAGCTGTGAGGACGATTTGACAATCTGGGTTTGACTATCCAGAGGAACGTTTTCTAAAAAGAAGTTCAGTTCAAACTGTTTTACCCGCCTGCGAAAACCAGTTGCCCTCATACTGAAAACGTTAATGAAGCCCCTGAGCTGATTAATGTAGGAGCCATTTGGCAAGGCAGGGCACCTTTTCTGAGGTCTATGTTTGTCTGTTCGTGAGCCGGTACTTCCCAAAAACGAATAGCAGTAAACTGTGCACTACGACAATACAAGCAGTACGCCAAAACGCACAACACTGAAAACAGTGAGTGGAGACTATCCAAGCTTGTCTTGTCGCAATTTCCACAGATTGTTTCGCTGTTCTTACTCTCAATAATTGTCAGCAGATATCAAATGTTAGAGAAGTCTGTAATATTGTCCGCGCTCTCGGCGACTCTGTCGCCGGTTTGGCAGTTTGAAAACCCCAGATAATCGTACGAGGGGTCGTTGCACCCAACTCTTTCAAGTGATTGAGACAAGAACTATGTAAACTTGAGAATGTTTAGAATTGTATATGTGTTCTGCTACATTGGGAACAAAGTAGATTCATGATTTCTAACCAACTTTGAATGCTCTGATTCAGTTTTGGCCGGAATACTTATCCAGATTTTCGTGGACAGATGTGGCTTCGTGGCAATTCATTGTATGACGGAAAATTAACCAAATTAACCAATTGGAAACCAATATGCTGTGTTGATTCTAGTCAATACCGTGATTTATTGGAACGGTGATCGTGCCGTATCACTTCTCGATAATTATGTCACTGTGCTATGTTGAAACCGTATTAACCGGTAATACCAGTCTAACTGGTAACACCTGCTACAGGTGTTACCAGAATTTGAACCAATATAGAAAGTTTATTTATTTGTTTAGGCCTGTTTTCGAATAGTAGACGTTGCTAATCATTTCTCCCGCCAAGTCTTATGTCTGAAGCAGTGGCTTCATGAGACAGTTAATCGTACTATACCCTTTCAATATCCAGAACTGGTATCTTCGTAGCTTTATCGGAAACTGGATCGCTATGCTACTGAGGCAGATAATGTAATCAAAGATTTTCTGATATTTCTTGCAGGGGGATACAATTACTTACAAGTTGGTAAACCGAGTCTGAATATTCCGCTAGATGCTCACATGGTACAACCTGAATATGTAAGTACTCTGCAGTGCGTGATGTACCATGTATTTTTTAGGTAACGCAAGGGGCGTGACATTAGTTTGAACCCAGGAGTATTAGTAGTTCGTCTGGTGTGATCGTCTTGGTGAGGGGAGAACTGTTGCTGTTGACGGACGTTTCGGCAATCTGGGCGCAAATCATTTTCAGACTCTAACCTCTAGACCCTGAAGGTGACACAGGTTGTCGAAACGTTAGCCACCAACCACAGTTGTTTTCGGAACTACCCTCGCCCAGGCGAACACACTAGACAAACCGTAAGGGGCGTGGAGTACACAATCTAGAGATGCCTGAGACGTTGATTGAGAAACGTACGTTTCTATGAGCATCAACCGTTTTCGTTGGATTCCATTGGTTCAATGTTTTCCTATTCTACATAGAAAAACTGCTTTCTCTTGATTTTATCTATAGGGAAGGGAACTTGTAACAGGGAGCGCCCTTGAACCAGAACAGCAGCAGGGCTATTTCCGCCTGCACGTTAATCAGCACCATTCCATAGAGACGATCACGTGTTACACTCGCCAGGTACGCATTTTGAGCACGTGATCACAAGCGTGACTTCTTGAACATTTAAAGGCATTTTGTTCGCCCTTTAAACAATGGAAATCATGTTCTTGATTTTGTTTGTGTTTTCTTGTATAAATGGTCAAGTTCATTTTCAAATGGGTTGGGAAGGAAATGTTTTGATTTTAGAAACTTGTTGTGGCATTAAGTGTGTCATGCACCTAAAGTTCTCTTTTGTTGTCTTGGTCATTGAAGTGTTTTTTTTTTTAATCTTTTACCCAAAGGTGCTTGATACAAGCAATCTTGTGTGCTTGTTTGGCCTTCATGAGCGATATCTAAACAACCTGCTCCAACGATTCGACGAAGGGCTTATAAATGATTTCTACAGGTAACTTAATTAGTAGTTTACAGAAAGGAGTAAAACTTGGTGTTGCACAAAATATTGTTCCGCAGTTGGTTAGTTGTTGTGTTTTGGTATGGACCCCGTTTTTTGCTTGCTTGGTCAGTCTATAACCCGTAAGCCTTCAACTAGTTGGAATTTTTAACAAGTTCTCAGTTCTGTTTACAGTATTTGTTTCTCGATTTGTGGTGTCTCCAATTAAGACAGCAGTGCTAAATACTTTTACACTTATTTATATTATTTCGTTTGCGTGATTTATTTCTCAATTTTTTGATGTGTTGATATTTTGGTCGCCTGATTGGGTTGTTGTTTGATTGACTGATTGATTGATTGAGTGATTGATTAACTGTTTTAGTATAGCTCAAGAAGACACAGTCACAGGATTATAAGTGTCATACTCCATGTGATGTGATACACCACGAAATTCTCACTATAAGCAGTAAACAAATGTCAGTCTATAAGTAGGGAGAATTGATATATTGAAATTCTGAGACGTGAATTCTTTGCAGTTTCTTCCGTGAGTCCTGGTGTCTTGCCGTGTTCCACGACAGATTTAAAGATTTCAGAGACGAAATCAGGGAACTTCTCGTCGCAAAACCTGTAAGTAGACACTTCAATTCCTAATGGGTTTATAAGATGTGGTACTGACCCCTAATCTATGTGTAAGCATCAAGCAGTTATTGTTTTTTGACTGTCAGGGGAAAATATAATTAACACAAAGGGCGAGAGTAATCAGGCCCTTGGTTTTCACGACATTCTAAATTTATGTTGCACGAGAAATATTTAACGAGAAAAGACTTAACTCGAGGAGAGACACTAACCCAGCCTATTCCTCTACCCCTCAGTCAGCGGACGTCCCGTCCCTGGAGGAGAAAGTACGCAAAATGATAGACGAAGACTTGGTGGTGAGTACCTTCGATGCATTCTTGTTGATAAACGAGTTTTCTCCTGGCTTGCGTTCAGTGTTATTACTTTTTAATTGTCTTTCTATTAAGTAGAAGAAGAAACCCCTAGTCCTTTCAACTCTTCCTCTCCTTAAAGAAAATCTGAAACGACACCAGCACTATCTTCAATAGCCTTCATTTGAATGGTGTCACCTAAAAGTTTCACCCACAAACTGTGCAAATTTAGAACCACTTTAGGCGCAGTTAATAGCACCACATAAAGTGGGGTTTTATTGACACACTAAAGTTAACAACAATCTCTACAGCATAATAATCGGTCCCACCTGAAAGCACGAATGGTAAGGTTTCATCCACAGACTTAAAAGTTAGAACCACCTTGTACACATAATAAATAGTAAGTACTGCTTAATAGCTTTATTTGAATGGTCACCCACTAGGGTTTCATCCACAGACTTAGAAGTTAGAACCACCTTGCACAGCATAATAAACAGTACCACATGAAAGTACTGCTCAGTAGGTTTCATTTGAATGGTCGCACACTAACGTTTCACCCACAGATGCATTAAGTGATTCAGTTATTAACCTTGGTAGTTAAATGGGTAAAAAAGTTTTCTCTTTACAAGAGTTTGAAAGAAGTTTGATTTCTAACCAGGTCTTAGAGAGGGTCGGTTTTTAACGCATTTTTCTTTTAAATTTTAGTTATCCAAAGACCAGCGCCGTGTCCTCACGGACTCTTACGTAGCGTCAACTGCAAAGAAAACAATCGAGCAAAGATTGCTGGGATTCCTCAGTTACAATTCCAATCACTTACCCATGTATGCCAAACCTGGCATGGTGTGATGTCTTACGTGACGTCAGATTTCCTTTTGTGTATATAGGTGTCATGACATATCGGTACTTTTTTGTGACGCCAGTGTTATGCAAGACTGTTATGACAGAGAACATGGCAGACTTGAGAAACTTGCCATGTTTTGTGTAAATATTGATAATGATTTGTTTTCTTAGTGTTATCAGTTTAAAGGGAATTGATCTGGAAAACTGTTATATCGGGATTTAGCTATGTAATATTTATAAGTATTTGGGTGTTCCTAACTTTACTGTACAACCTGACAAAATGTCAAAATTGTATCACTGTGAACGCACGATATTTGCGTCACTTTCGTTGGTTTGTTACGAATGGTAAGTTGACTTATGAATAGCTGCGAAAAAATATCACTTCCTTGAGACCTCCATAAAGAGGTGCTTAAGACCTTGTTTGAAATTGCCCGTTACTGTTCCTGAAGTTTATATTTTATGAAATGGGATTACTCCAAATCTTCAATATTGTACTACTGCTTGCTAGTGGGGTTGATGAAGTGAGGGGTTGATCCACATCTCCAGGGACATACAATTACTTGCAAGTGGGGTTTGTGCTGAGGTGATGTCGCTTTCTGGGGTAATTCAGAAAAAAAATCTTTCGTTCAGTACATATTGTCAGTGATCCAGATCTCCAGTAACATACCACTGCTTGCTAGCGGGTTTTTGCGTTGGGTTGATGCACTTTTATGGCTATGAATTATTTTCTTTAAGTGCAAATTTCCTTTCCTTCCATGGTGCTGGCGAAATCGACTTTCCTTGCACGTTTTTTTAAGCGCTTTGATAATAATCGGTTAATTACGTGCGTGTCGTTACAGACAAAAGTAGTATCTAAGGGTGCTTTTCTTTGGGAAAATCTACGTTTAATCCCAAAACGGATTTTACGTTTCTTTACTAAACAGATTAATTCGAGATCACTCGATACATGGTGCATCAAAGGAACCGAGGAATCTTCGCCCAGAGTGGATTATTCAGTTCCTTTGATGCACCATGATCTGAATGATCTTGGAATAATATATTTAGTAAAGAAATGCAAAATCGATTTTGGATGTAAGAATCCAATCGTGGATTTTCCCAAAAAACGCACCCTAAAACTGTGGTCGCAAAGTACTGCTCAAATGCAATGTCGGTTAAAGAAAATACTGGAAACATGTGTTCTTTAACCCACTTTTTGCCATTTGTAAATACAGCTATAATGAAAAAATCATTACATTTTGCGTTTTTTACACTTTGCAAATGAGTGAAAATGTGGTCATCGCATGTGTAATTGCAATTTAAGCAATTGCAAACTACATGTAAGCCAGAAAAATGGAAAAAAAAAATTCAGCGCTTCAGCGGGTTTTGAACTCGTAGCCTGTGCTGTTGAGCTGCAGCGCTCTATCAATTGAGTTATGAAGACGGGCTGACCAATATGTAGAGGACAGGCTAGAAAATTTATTACATTTTGCGTTGAAAAGTTATTACATTTTTGGTAAACACTTAATTACTTTTTGCGTCAATTTCATTGCATTTTGCGTTAATGTTACGTTTTGCGTTAATATTACATTTTGCGTTGGCCCCTATTACATTTTGCAGCATACCAGCTGCGATTTTGAAAACTGCAAAGAAACAACTGTGGACCGTCAATAAAACTGTTAAAAGTTCCATTCGTCTCTTCATGCTACATTAAAGAGGCTTAATCAGCCAATGTTAGGCAACTTCAGCCCTTACCAACTGATCATAAGTTACCGAAATATCGCAATAACGGTGTAGAAGAGCACAAACACCAACTTTCTTTTGACATCACCGTCAGGGTTATTTTATTTCTAGCTCTACCGTGACCTCGGTCTCTACAGCTATCTTCAGATGGAAGAGATTCCTGACGGTTTGCTTGGCGGCTTCTCGAAAGTCAGTCACGCGCCAAAAGTAAATCAAAGGATTGGCTGCAGAGTTTCCAAAAACGAACAGAACTGCCAGGGAATGAGCTGCCGATGTTCTCATGTCTTCCTTCTCTTGCGAAGCGCTTATTGCTGAGGTGATGATGAAGGGGAAGTAACTTAGAACAAATGCGCTAATGAGAATGATCATTGTATTAGTCGTGCGTCGATATCGGCTCAGAAATTGATGAGTTTGTTGCTGCGAGCTCTGAATTTGTTTGCTGTGCCTTTTAACAGTTTTGTAAATGGCAACATAGCACCAGGCGACGGCTGTTGATATAAGACAGCAAAAAGCAATAAGTATGAGCGAGACAACTTTGTCTTTTGCCCAAAACCACAGCAGTGTTATCCATGTCACCCATATGGCCCAGTAAATAAGCGCCGTGATCAAAACGCGGGTGGTGGTTATCAACTCGGCATATCGAAGGTGCAAACGAAGAGCGAGATATCGCTCAAAACTAATGGCTGAAAGCGTCAGGAATGAAATCCCATTAAACATCCAGGCCGNAACGGTGACGACCTCGTGGAAAATGAAATAATAATAATACAAAGAAAAAAAAAAAACCCACCACCACCCAGTCTGATAAAACAGATAAGGCCAGCTTCTGATGAGGCACATAGCGATGTTATATTAGCTTTACCGATAATGAAAAAGGAGCGAAATGCATGCAAGAGAAATTAGAAATGCCAATCAGTTTTATATAAAAGAAAATTAAGGTTGTAAAGTAAAAGTTTATAGCAAGTTATCAGAAAACCAAGCGTTAGTCGTGTCATTTGCTGCAGGCTTGTTTTTCCATGCCGCCTTTCTTTTGTCTCTAATAACCAAGCTATAAGCAACAACAAGCATCCATCCCGCCCAAGAACCTATATTATTGCAAAGTCTTCGAGGAAAAGGAGAAATGATAAATCCGTACTGTTCTCGCCTCGTTTCGTGTGGGCCACCTTTTTTTTTTTGGCAAAAAGTTTCAGGTGTCTCACAGTCGAATTCAACCTGCTGAGCTCTGCCGTGAACGTATGACATAGCGATTTATTAACCGAATCGGCCAAAAGAATAATAAATGATATTCAGCACAAAATTATTTTGGCTTTAAAAAAATTTCATTTATAAGTCATTTTAGTAAGATTTTGTCATTCTCATACTTTAATCTTTGTCAATTCTACTCTCAGGAAAGCGACATTCGGAGATGGGTGATAGTGTAAATACCTGTATACACAGTTGGGCTTGGAGTTATCGGGAATTGAAGTTCATAAGCCCGCTGGTTACGTGTAAAGAGAGACTTGAAATACTGAACATGGTATACCCTCCGTTGTAGCCGTAAGCGGAGATGGGGTGCGGGAGGCGAAACACAAGTCCCAGTGTCCCTTAAATCCGCGCTACTTAGGCTAAACATCGGCATCTAAGCAAGGAAAACAAGCAGACAGCCTGCAAAAACGCTTTTTAGTTGATCATGAATAATTTTAAGTAAAAAAGAAGTGCCAGCAAGTTGCCACAACAATTAATTGTACTTGTCCTTGCAACATGGGGTACTGTAAAACAAATCAACAAGCCACGGAGAAATCCCCTGGTAATAGATTTCCAAAAATATAAAACCAGGGGGTATTAGCGATGCATCTAGGAACAATATAATAACTGAAGGGATGAGTTTATAATTTCAGGGATTTTTGATTCTCGATGATATTTATTGACCATAGCAGAACCTGTTTCCTATCTCATAACATTGGACACATTCCTTTGGAATTATCCGGATCAGGATCAGTAATCCAAACCGCATGGATCGTGGTGCATCAAAGGAACCTTCATGAAACAGCTCCTTTGATGCACCATGATCCGAGTGATCTTGGATCCAGATCATTAAAAAGGAATTCATCCATTATCTATAAATTACTTTGAATGTTATTTGTGAATAAAATAATTATCGTGCATACTCTTACATGCAGCTAACATTTTGTCGGATGCAAAATTCCTTTCAAAATTAAGTCCTGAAGTGTAAGTCAGACCATTCTACAAACCCCAAATTCCTTCTGATTTTAGGTCCCCCTGCCCCTTTTCTCCCTCATAAAAATAACTATATCTAAAAAGCCTTTTTAATAAAATCATGGCTAACACTGGGTTAAATTACCATCAGAAATTATGGTATTGTTCTTTCAATTGAGAGTTGGAAGTAATCAGGGAATTATTTTGGTTTTGGTTTTACTATGGTTTGCGATTGGCTGGGTAGTCTAATTGGTAAGAAATTGGTTTGGTTTTGGTTTTACAACACTCAACTGGAAACTGCTCTTAGAGGGTTTTGTAAGGTGATGGGCAGATTACAAACCAAACCCTCCGTTAATTTAATACTTCTCACTTTTTTGCGTGCTTATCTAAAATTCTTCATTGTTCTCCAGTTCAGTGACCTGTTCTTTTCATTTGTGGCACTTAGGAGGAAACCCTTTTAATTTTTCTGTACAAATTTCTGCTTCCTCTGCAACAATGCAAAGAGCCTTGTGAATGATTGTGATTGAGCATGTGGAATGAATGAGTGAGTGAGGGTCACCCAGCATATCAAAATTGCTAGCTGGTACTTTTCTGTTTTGATTCAACCCTGGTTATCCTGTAAGGATGTTCCTGCAACAAAATAGAAAGAAATGATGTACAAAAATAAATAAATCGACTTGCAACCAGACAGAGCAATAAATAATGAAAATAACTAAACATCTAAATGAACAAAATTTGTTAATAGTTAATTTACAAGGTATCTCTGTATTAGTATTTTTTTATTTCTCCACTTGACTCTATAACAATGGGTGGATTTTAGAGTCCTCATACTGCAGGAGTGATTTTCAAGCACAAAGTTCTTAATATATTTTTCAACATACTATTAGAGACTTGAAAATTATCGTAATTTGAGTTAATTTCTCAATGCTGGAATATCCATAAGAACAACAGTGGCCATGACTGTAATGTGTCTTGTGGTGCATTATTTCAGTGAAATCAGCTTGGGAACAACAAAATTTTGAAAAATGGTATTTTTAAATAAAATCATGATCCACTCTTTGAATGGAAGACAACATTTCCAGTTTAGAATCTCTACCTCGCCATTTATGTTACATACCAGATTTCCTGTTGCTAGAGTCACCTTGCATTTTCAAAGATACATAGAAAATGATGGGAAGGAAGCAGAAAAACACAGTCAAAGCCACAACAGACACCAGATCAGTGTGTATCTTCACACAGTTAAAGTTGTTACTCCAACGCTGCCGAGTATAATTCATCTGGAGTAAAATAAAAATAAACTAGATTGTAATTGTTGAAAATTCCATTGTAAAGAAAATATTGTTAACAAGCGATTTTCATTCTGTATTCCTTTTTCTTCCTCTGTGATGGATTTTTTAACCCCGAGGTGGGAGGGGGAGCGGGGCGGGGGGGGGGCCGACTCTCATNGTTGGTTTGTTACGAATGGTAAGTTGACTTATGAATAGCTGCGAAAAAATATCACTTCCTTGAGACCTCCATAAAGAGGTGCTTAAGACCTTGTTTGAAATTGCCCGTTACTGTTCCTGAAGTTTATATTTTATGAAATGGGATTACTCCAAATCTTCAATATTGTACTACTGCTTGCTAGTGGGGTTGATGAAGTGAGGGGTTGATCCACATCTCCAGGGACATACAATTACTTGCAAGTGGGGTTTGTGCTGAGGTGATGTCGCTTTCTGGGGTAATTCAGAAAAAAAATCTTTCGTTCAGTACATATTGTCAGTGATCCAGATCTCCAGTAACATACCACTGCTTGCTAGCGGGTTTTTGCGTTGGGTTGATGCACTTTTATGGCTATGAATTATTTTCTTTAAGTGCAAATTTCCTTTCCTTCCATGGTGCTGGCGAAATCGACTTTCCTTGCACGTTTTTTTAAGCGCTTTGATAATAATCGGTTAATTACGTGCGTGTCGTTACAGACAAAAGTAGTATCTAAGGGTGCTTTTCTTTGGGAAAATCTACGTTTAATCCCAAAACGGATTTTACGTTTCTTTACTAAACAGATTAATTCGAGATCACTCGATACATGGTGCATCAAAGGAACCGAGGAATCTTCGCCCAGAGTGGATTATTCAGTTCCTTTGATGCACCATGATCTGAATGATCTTGGAATAATATATTTAGTAAAGAAATGCAAAATCGATTTTGGATGTAAGAATCCAATCGTGGATTTTCCCAAAAAACGCACCCTAAAACTGTGGTCGCAAAGTACTGCTCAAATGCAATGTCGGTTAAAGAAAATACTGGAAACATGTGTTCTTTAACCCACTTTTTGCCATTTGTAAATACAGCTATAATGAAAAAATCATTACATTTTGCGTTATTTACACTTTGCAAATGAGTGAAAATGTGGTCATCGCATGTGTAATTGCAATTTAAGCAATTGCAAACTACATGTAAGCCAGAAAAATGGAAAAAAAAAATTCAGCGCTTCAGCGGGTTTTGAACTCGTAGCCTGTGCTGTTGAGCTGCAGCGCTCTATCAATTGAGTTATGAAGACGGGCTGACCAATATGTAGAGGACAGGCTAGAAAATTTATTACATTTTGCGTTGAAAAGTTATTACATTTTTGGTAAACACTTAATTACTTTTTGCGTCAATTTCATTGCATTTTGCGTTAATGTTACGTTTTGCGTTAATATTACATTTTGCGTTGGCCCCTATTACATTTTGCAGCATACCAGCTGCGATTTTGAAAACTGCAAAGAAACAACTGTGGACCGTCAATAAAACTGTTAAAAGTTCCATTCGTCTCTTCATGCTACATTAAAGAGGCTTAATCAGCCAATGTTAGGCAACTTCAGCCCTTACCAACTGATCATAAGTTACCGAAATATCGCAATAACGGTGTAGAAGAGCACAAACACCAACTTTCTTTTCACATCACCGTCAGGGTTATTTTATTTCTAGCTCTACCGTGACCTCGGTCTCTACAGCTATCTTCAGATGGAAGAGATTCCTGACGGTTTGCTTGGCGGCTTCTCGAAAGTCAGTCACGCGCCAAAAGTAAATCAAAGGATTGGCTGCAGAGTTTCCAAAAACGAACAGAACTGCCAGGGAATGAGCTGCCGATGTTCTCATGTCTTCCTTCTCTTGCGAAGCGCTTATTGCTGAGGTGATGATGAAGGGGAAGTAACTTAGAACAAATGCGCTAATGAGAATGATCATTGTATTAGTCGTGCGTCGATATCGGCTCAGAAATTGATGAGTTTGTTGCTGCGAGCTCTGAATTTGTTTGCTGTGCCTTTTAACAGTTTTGTAAATGGCAACATAGCACCAGGCGACGGCTGTTGATATAAGACAGCAAAAAGCAATAAGTATGAGCGAGACAACTTTGTCTTTTGCCCAAAACCACAGTAGTGTTATCCATGTCACCCATATGGCCCAGTAAATAAGCGCCGTGATCAAAACGCGGGTGGTGGTTATCAACTCGGCATATCGAAGGTGCAAACGAAGAGCGAGATATCGCTCAAAACTAATGGCTGAAAGCGTCAGGAATGAAATCCCATTAAACATCCAGGCCGTGTAGAAATGAATGAACACTGCCAAGCAGTAAATGTCCATATTTCCAAGAAGAAGTGAAATTTCTGCTACCAGGAACGAAGGTTCCGATGTCAGCCCAACGAAAAAGTCAGAAACTGCCAACGAGCAAAGTAAAACATTTCTCGGTTTGTGAAGAGCCGGTGTCCTCCAAATTGCGATGATCACCACCGTATTGAAAAGCAATGTTATTAAGCACACGATGGAGCCAAAAACGCAAGCCCATATTGACGATATTACGTAGAATTTTGGTAAATTTTCCCTGGCTTCCATATCCAAGAACGGTTGCAGAGTTTGGCAGATGGAATATCTGGTCGCTGTGTAGTTTTGCGAGGCGACGCTCCAAAAAGCTGTTGAGTTCGCCATAATTACGTTATAACAAACCGTGAATCCATTTTACACAACGTTGATTTGTATTCTCGCCTTTGAATAAATTTGGATAGGTTTTAACAAACCCCTGCCTGCTGGGGATTGACAATTTCCTTGCTCTTCATGCAAAGTACGTTTAAAACATCATCGTGAGTGTCTCTTGTATTTGTTTGGCACGTAAATATGCGTTGATGAGGTTTTTAGTGTGCTTGAAAAGGTACGATAGTCCTTAAACTATTCATTTCAGATCTGTTAACTGTCGTCTGCATGTCTGAGTTTCGCGCGAGCTAGTGTCGTTTAATTACATATTTAATACTGTGCTCTCAAAATTAAAATATACAGGGGACTAATAACGACGTTAACTTTCCTTTTTATTTATTTTTTTGGTCGAGTTTGAAATTAAATACGATAAGTTTTTTTTTTCAAAATCCTTCGATCAATATTGTATATTTTTCGGCAAATTTGCAGCTTATGACTGAGAGAGTGAAATACATGCTTCCCGATCTGCTGGTAGATATTGTACTATGTATTTTGCTGCCCATGTAAGTAAAAGCTTCGGAAGTGAAAATAACTAAATAATAAATAAAAATATCGCTTTTAACAGCTGCTCGGGCAGACATGCACATAAAATCGACAATCGTTAACAACTAAGCAATCAAACAGGAAAAGGTCAATTGTCCCGACCTTTTCTACGCTTGAGGTTTCGAAAGCCCAGTGAGGTCTCGGGACAGTGTAGTCTTGAACTAAACTGCCGGAATAAACGATGACCAGTGCAAATAGCGTTTAGTAGCTACCGTTGCTCGCGGTTATTCGGTGAAATGACTTTGCGGATGGTCATTGAATTTTTTAAGAATTGTGCTGGAAAATATATTCGCAACTTTAACTGAGGGCTTTCAGTAATAATTAAAACGAAAGATCTTTTTTGTGGTACTTTGAAGCGAGTGGGGAAGAAGAAATTCTACACCAGCGAGAGCTTTCTAGCACGTCTGCGTTATTCGAGTATCACCACAGCTTTTCCTAGTTCTCCAAAGCGAGGCTGATGAGTGTTGCTGGAACAAGAAACACGGAAAATGTCTTCATTTTCTGACTAGAAACCCAGTTTTATTAGAGCCATTTATCACGGACGCTTTCTATGCGAATTGTTGCTAAAAACAAAAACAAAAATGACATTAATGTTGAGCCCTGTAAGCATCTTCTGGAGCGAACGTGTTTCAAAGTTCTGTTTCCTATAGTTGGGGCTAGAAACAAACAGTATAAATTTATGAGTAATATGAGCAATTAAAATTTTATAGAAAGAAGTTCCCATTGACGTTGTAAATGGAGCAAATACCAGAATGTATATAGAACTGACAAAATTCATCATTCTGATTGGCTGAGAGCTTGCAAAGTTATCGTCAATTTTTAATTATAAAATTAATGAGTAATCGTATAAATGCCCGAGCAATTAAGGATATGCAGTACTTGTGATCTATCTATCTATCTATCTATCTATCTATCTATCTATCTATCTATCTNTTTTTTTTTTTCAAATTGCAATTTTGAGAGAATTTCAAGTACCATTCATCGTTTAAATCCTTAACTGCACTCGCATTCATGTGATTACCTTTACTAATTTGAAAACAGAATCCTTTTTTTGGGTGTGTTATATTTTTTACAATGGGTATAAGGGGTATAAGCGGTATTAGGGGTATAAGGGGTATTAAGGGTATAAAGGGTATAAGGGGTATTAGGGGTACAAGGTGTATAGGGGGTATTAGGGGTCTAAGGGGTATTAGGGGTATAAGGGGTATGGTGGGTATAAGGAGTACAAGGGGTACAAGGAGTGTTAGGGGTATAAGGGGTATGATGGGTATAAGGGATATAAGGGGTATAAGGGTATTAGGAGTATAAAGGCCTAGGGTATAAGAGATATAAGGAGAATTAGGAGTATTAGGAGTATAATGGGTAGAAGGGGTATAAGGCGTTGGTGAGGTACTTTTATGGCTATTGAATACTTTTTTTAAGTGCATTTTTCCTTTCCTTCCATGATGCTGGCGAAATCGACTTTTCCTACACCGAAGAATCCTTGCCCAGAGTGGATTCTTCGGTTCCTTTGACGCACCTTGATCCGAGTGATCTTGGATTAATCTATTCAGTAGAGAAATGCAAAATCCGTTTTTAGATTTTAAGGAAATCCCAAAGAAACGCATCCTTAAAACTTTGGTCGCAAAATACTGCTCAAATGTAATGTCGGTTAAAAAAGAAATACTCGAAACCCATGTTCTTTAACCCACTTTTTGTCATATATAATAGCTATAATTAAAAAGTTATTACTTTTGCGTTATTTACATTTTGCAAATGCGTAAAAATGTGGCCATCGCATATGTAATCGCAATTTGAGCAATTGCAAACTACATGTAAGGTCATGTAAGCCAGAAAAAAATTCAGCGTTTCAGCGGGTTTCGAACTCGTGCTCTGTGCTTCAGAGCTGCAGTGCTCTGTTAAGACCCATACATAGGGCGTAGGCCAGCACATTTATTATTTTGCTTTGACAATGTATTACATTTTGCGTCAATTTTAGTACATTTTGCGTCAATTTCATTACATGTTGTGTCAAGCTTATTAAATTTTGCGTCAATGTTGCGTTATTACAAGTTCCGTCAATATTATTACATTTTGCCTTAATACTACACTTTGCTTTGGCCGCTATCACATTACGCAGCGTGACAGTTGCGATCTTGAGAAGAAACAACTGGATCATATATTCTACCAAAGAAGAAAAGAAACTTTTAAAAGTTCCATTCGTCTCTTCATGCAACATTAAAGAGGCTTAATCAGCCAGTGTTAGGCAATTTCAGCCCATTTCAACTGGTCATAAAAGTTGCCGAAACATCACATTAACGGCTTAACGGTAGAAGAGCATAAAAACTAACTTTGATGTAACTTCAACGTCACAGTTATTTCATTTCCAGCTCTACCGTGACGTCGGCTTCTACAGCTATCTTCAGATGGAAGAGATTCCTCACAGCTTGTTTGGCTGCTTCACGAAGATCAGTAACGCGCCAAAAATAAATCAAAGGATTGGCTGCAGAGTTTCCAAAAATGAACAGAACTGCCAGGGAATGAGCTGCAGATGTTCTCATGTCTTCCTTCTCTTGCGAAGCACTTATTGCTGAGGTGATGATGAAGGGGAAGTAACTTAGGACAAATGCGCTAATGAGAATGATCATTGTATTAGTCGTGCGTCGATATCGGCTCAGAAATTGATGAGTTTGTTGCTGCGAGCTCTGAATTTGTTTGCTGTGCCTTTTAACAGTTTTGTAAATGGCAACATAGCACCAGGCGACGGCTGTTGATATAAGACAGCAAAAAGCAATAAGTATGAG